TTTGCTGAGGCTGCTTCCTCCATGCTCCCAGACAGAAAACTAACTCACTCTCCTCCAGCCCTGCCCCCCAGCCAGGGTAGCATCCACCTTCCTTTGTTCCTCTCCATGGGGGTTGGCTGGTGAGACAGGTTGAGACACCCTTTGCATAATGACTCATCCTGTTTTGCTGGGCCGTGGTACCAACTGCAGCCAGTGGGGGTTACCCCAGAGCCAGCAGCATAGAAAGCAGCCTGATATCCCCACTACGTCACACCCCCACACTTTCCACTAGATGGAACTAAAGGGACAAGTACAGGATGAAAATTCATGGACAAGTAGAAACGTTCACCCGCACCCCACTCTCCGTGAAAACGCGTCTACACACAGGAGCTGAACCGAATTCACTGCTGTTTAAGTACTCGCCGTGTAAATTCTGCCTTTGGGCGTCCTCATCCCGTCACCCCACAAAAAGTGAAAAGGATGAGCACGTCCAACACACACACTGCGTCATTTGGTGCCCTTGTAGGAAACAATTTGGCCCGACACAATCTGAGTGCCCAGGGATTTAATAACACGAATGGAATTAAAAAAAAAATTCTTGCCAGGCTCTCCTCGCAAAAGGTCCCAGTCTCGAAACCAACCGATCTCTTCTTATTGTGGCTCACCTCAGCTCCTGCTGCCTGTCCTGTGCCTGAAATAAATTCAGCTCCTCTGTGATGGGGTGTGACGTCAGTTCAGAATGCAGCTGGGTGTCAGCCTGGGGTAAGGAGACGATTCGAGTCAGGTTGGGGGCTTGTGGCTCGGGCTCTGGTGCCCTTGGTAGGTGGCACGCTTCCTGTTTCCTCCCTTTTGTGCCCTGCCACAGATAGAAGCGAGGCAGGAATGGGGCAAAGGAGGAAACTGAAGTTGAGGGAGGCAGGGCAGAAGCTGAGAGCCAAAGCCTGTGGGATGCGGCTGGCTGTTGGGAGGCACAATCCTGAGCCTGTCTCATGGCATCCGAGAGGTGGCTATTGCAGCCCAGGAGAAAAGGGGAATTCTTGGTGGAAGGAAAACAATCAAACCTGTGTCCGAGTGGACATGAGCCTGCGCCCCATTTGGCCAAGCTGGTTAGGCGATGTTGGGTTTGACGGGCTCCCTGTCAGACTTTTTCTCTACCCAGGATTGTGCCTTTGTGGCCCCTCTGGGGTGTTATTCGTGGCTTTGGATGTGGGGTGGGGCTGGCTGTGAGCAACAGGGATCCATGAAGCCCCCACCTGGCCCTCTGGCGGTGCAGTCTGAAGAGCGCATCCTAGAATGGAATGTCTGGGACCTGACCCAGCGGTATTGGCTGCCCAGCTGTTCTCAGACTCTCCTGGACAGGCTGGTGCAGCCTTTCACCCTCAAGCGGCTCCCAAGCCCGCTGCCCTTATGGCGTTATGGCTTCTCCACAGCTGCTGTGTCCCCGGGACTCCCTCTCTCTTCCCTTGGCTTCCTCAGCTCCCGGCCCCGCAGCACTTCCCGCCAGCCGGAGACTGCACTTCAATGCCTGTTCCTGTGGATCTGAGCCTCTATGATGCTTCCTAAGGGCCCCCCAAGAGAAAGGAAATTTCCTTTAGGCAGTGGCCCCACAGGCTGGGAATGGGGGTGTCGCTCCGGACACAGCCAGGATTCATTGAGCTTCAGGTGTACAAGGAAAGTTAAACGCCACCTGGCTCTCGGGTTAAAAGCCTGATGCTCTGCCAGCTGCGCTAGTGAGTGGCCTTAGAAAAGGTTCCAGGCTACTGGTCGGAGAGCGAAATGGTTCCCACGACCACCGGACAGAGCCACAAGGAGGCAGCAAAGTGTCACGTGGGAGCACGGAGCGTTTCTTCCCACAGACTGACCCTGGGCACAGGCTCCGGGAATTCCCGCCCCAGCGCCCAGGGCTGGATTGTCCCAGGAAGGGTCCGACGGCTCCGCCCCCTTTCCCGTCAGCACAAGGGCAGCGCCCAGGGCCCCTCGGAGGGTTTGGCAGCCGCAGCGCTCGGGCCCATTTCACCCGGGCGGGGGGAGCCCTCGGTTCTGTTCTGTCAGTTTCCTTCCTATCGCCTGTTACATTCTGAGTTCACAATAGGAGGAATCTT